TCCTACACTCACCTTTCCTGGCCCCATCCCCGCCTCTTCGACCTGTTTGTTTCCTCTCCACCTGTCCTCTCCTCTATCCCTCTTCTATCCGCCTCCCACTCTCTCCCTATTTATTTCAAAACCCCCTTCCCCTCCCCCTTTTCTGATGAAGGGTCTAGGCCCGAAACGTCAGCCTCTCTGCTCCTATGATGCTGCTTGGCCTGCTGTGTTCATCCAGCCCTGCACCTTGTTGTCTCGGATTCTCCAGCATCTGCAGTTCCTACTATCTCTGGTAAAGATGGCAGTTTCCTTCCCTAAAGGGCATTAGTGAACCAGATGGGTTTTTCCCAACAATCAGCCATGGTTTCATGGTCATCATTAGACTCTTAATTCCATATTTTTATTGAATTCAAATTCTGCCATTACAGGATTTGAACCTAGGTTCCCAAAACATTACATTGGTCTCTGGATCAATAGTCCAGCAATAATACCACTAGGCCATCACTTCACTGAAAGCATCAGATCCAATTTAAGGATTACAACCTGGTGGATTTCATAGTTGTACATCACATTGTGTTTAAACTGTACAGTGATAAGCCTCAAGAGTGAATCACAGTCGTAGAGACATACAACACAGAAACATACGTAAAGAATGCAGATGTGAATGAAGCTGAAAAGCTTGGTTACTTAGAATGTACTTATGGGTTATAGCTGAAATCCCAATAATTCAATATACTTAGTGTATATGAGTTCTTGGCTGAAGTGTAAAACCAGGAAAATCAATTCTATTATCTTCCATTGCACAATTTCCATTTGGAATTCTTCTGCAGTTTATGCAACCACCTTCACTCTTTGGGATTTTGTAAAGGAAACCCCATGTCAAATAGGAATACTTCCTTATGTTGCAAGCAATATTTGTGCCACACAAGTACCAAGCATTAACCATCTCCAACCAGAGAAGGTCTAACCAACTCTTAACATTCTATGGTATTACAATACTAATTAACCCACTTTCCTCATCCTGGAGGTTAGTATTGATCGGAAATTTAAGTAGACCTACTTTATAAATACTGTAGCTACAAGACCAGATCAGAGGCTGGGAATTCTGTAGCAAATAATCACAGTTATTTTAGTTTGGGATTATAGTCAGTATGAACTGGTTGGGCCAAAGGTTTTGTTTCTATGCAGTGTGACCCTATGACTCTATGTCAATTTAGGTAATGACAGTTAGGGTGGGCTAGAAGAAAGGAAAATCAGTCAGTATTCCCACACAACATTCACAGCAGAAATAGGCGTCTGGATATTCAATCAGGACAAAAATTGGCACAGCTGGGATTATGCCCCAAAGTTGAACCACTGCCAAAGGCTTGGACATTGATAAAAATTAGAAGCAGAAAATGTTGGAGAAACTCAGCAGGTCTGGCAGCATCTGTGGAGAGAGAAACACAGTTAATGATTAGAGTCTGGTCTGACTTCTTCAGAACTGTTCAGTTCTGAAGATGTCACACAGGTCTTGAAACATCCATTAACCAAAGGTCCTCTAGAAACCAACTATTATATTTCCAGCTCCTTTTGGAATTAAATTTTATTGTCACGTGTACTCAAGTACAGGAGTTCAGTGAAAAGTGTACAAAGTCACCATTCTCCAGTGCCATCTTAAAATGCAAAATATAGAACCAGAATTTTTAAAAAGAGAAAAGAAGAGAAACAGAACCAAAAGAAAAATGTCTAGATCTTAAAGTCTTAAAGCCTTTAAAATTTTGATACGTGAGAGTGAGTCCACACTTAACTACACAATGGCACAGTATGTTGAAGGGTTCATGTAATGCACCATTACAGTAGCCTTGCGTCAGTTGCAAGAAATTAACATTTAGTTTAAAATGGTATCAGTAGAGATTAACAGTAGAGTAATAACATCCTCTATCTGTTCTGTGGTCAAAGTATGATGTAAGATAAATTATTTAGCATGTTCAGCACAGAACAGGCCATCTAGCCCAACCAATTCAAATTAGACTTTTCTCGCCTTACTACATTTCATTGTATCAAAATAGCCTTTGATTATTTTCTCCTTCATGTATTTATCTGGGTCTGTCTGAAATACATCAATGCCATTCCTTTAAATACTCCATATAGTAGTCAGTAACACTCTATGATTAAATAAGTTTCTTCTGAATCCAGAATTGGATTTGCTGGTTACAGTCAAATGTATGACCCTTAGTTTTGGACTTTCCCACAAATAGAAGGATGCTATCTAGGACTATCCTGTCAAATCCCTTCAACAATATAAACCCTTCTATTCGAATGCACTTCAGTCTGCATGCTGGAGAATAGGGTCACAGCCTGTTCAGAGGGTTATAACTGTTGGAATGTAGGAGGAGGGGAATTCATTAATGTCATTTGGAGTTAAAGAGAAATGAGCTGCCCTGCCTACAGATTAGATAAAGCTCCATCTTGTACTGATGTTATTTTTATTCATTCTCAGAATGTGGGTATCACTGGCTAGGTCACCATTTGTTGCCCAACCCTAATTGCCCTTGGGAGTGTTGTGGTGAGCTGCCTTCTTGAACTGCTATGTTTAGGGACACCCACAGTGCTGTTGGAAAGTACCTTCTATGACTTTGATTTGGCAACAGTGAATGAATGGCAATATAATTCCAAGTCAGGGTGGTGAGTGCTTGGAGGGGCACTAGAAGTTGGGCTCCCATGCATCTGGTGCCCATGTCCTTCTTCATGATGGATGTTGTGGGTTTGAGGGATGTACTGTACTTCAGGGCTGCATTGGTACTGAGTGTAGGTCTTATGGTGTAGTGGGTAGCCCCTGAGCCTATGAGCCAGAGACTTCGGGTTCAGCTGGGACTTGATGGCAACGGAAGTTGTGTTCATTACACAGTCAGACAGGTTTGCAGGGCTGAACCTGCAAACCCTTCCAACACACCTCTATGGATGATGGGAGAGATTCCTGGTGAGCTGTGTGATGAGAAAAACATTAGTGCATCTACCATCACTATCTATTGCTCCAGATTGCAACATGGATGTAATGGGACATTGCAGACACTGCATCTGCAGGCGGGCATAGACAGGTCAAATGGGAAGGCAAAAAACTTGCTAGATGGAATATAATGTGGGAAGATGTGATGTTATGCACTTTCGTAGGGAGGAATAGAGGAGCTGAATGTTATTTAAATGGAGAAAGGCTGCAGAAAGTTACAGAAAAGAGGGATTTGGGCATCCTCCTTCATGAATCACAAAAACCTAGCATCCAAGTTCAGTGGGAAAGGGAAGGTGCAAGGAATGTTGGCCTTTATTTCAAAGGGAATGGAGTATAAAAGTAGGGAGGTTTTGTTCAAACTTTACAGGGTGCTAGACAGACCACAGGTACAATACAGGGAACAGTTTTGGGGTCCCTTATCTGAGGAAAGATATACTGGCATCAGAGGCAGTCCAGAGAAAGCTGATACCAGATAGGGAGGGATTGATTTAGGAGGAGAGGCTGAATAGATTGGGAATATAGAAGAATGAGAGGTGACCTTATTGAAACATAGGAGATTCTTAAAGGACATGGCAATGTAGAGGGGAAAGGTTGTTTCCTCTTGTAGGAGAGTTTAGGATCAGACAGCATCATCTCAGAATAAGGGCTTGCACATTTAAGACAAAGATGAGGAGGAATTCCTCAGTGAATCTGTAGAATTCTTTACCACAGAGGGCAATCTAATCTACCCTTACAACCCGTCAGATCCCCATTGGGAAGAAGTGTTTAGTCCATTCACAGTCCCAAGGTTGAATGTCAAATGAAAAACAGAGATCTCTGCAAGTTTGACCTCTCGCCGCGAGGGAAAAACAGTTTTACCCCATGTCACCGTTGCTTATTTTGGAGGCAATTATGAGTAAATTATCCTAAAATTTCTTTTTTTCTCTCTCAGTTTTCTTGAACGTCAAATTTCGCCACAGTCTTTGCATGGTGCAAGAAGGAAAAGAGTTGCATAATGTTCAACTTTTAAGGTCGACCAAAGAAAAAGGAGCTTTTCCTGCTTACTTTGATCAAAGGGAAATGTGGGGTTTGTTTTTTGCATTTCTTTCTTTTGCGTGTGAATTTAAATAAGAATATAGGAATTGATGGGGCTTTTTCTTGTCTTAAAACCTGGCGTGGAAGCCGGTTGAGCCCCGCCTCCTCTGAGAGTCGTGGGTGGCGGGGGTGCTGTGAGAACCAAAACAAAACATAAAGCAACGATGCGGCTGAGTATCAATTTTTGACAAGAGTGGAACCGAAAGATCCAGGAAGTGGTGTAAATAGATTTCCTGCTCGATTGGTTCCAGCGGTGAATAAATAGAAGCTAGCTTGTACATTTTGTTAGACGGCATCGTTTCACTAAATTAAAGGCAGGAGACACACACACACACACGCTGCCTGTCAAACACTCAGCGCACTGAGCTAACCTCCAGCAACAATGTTCCGAAGAAAGCGAAGTGTTTCCTTTGGGGGTTTCGGATGGTGAGTGTTACTGTTAAGTTGCTTTTTTTTCTCCTCTCTCTCCGTTCCACACGCCTTACTTCTGGTCACTGTTTTCCTCCCAGCTGTTTTTAAAGAGACACCAACCATGTGTGTACGGTGCAGGAGGCTGCAAGAGGAATGTACGCACAAAAGTCATGTGGATACAAAGATCTGGCTGCTGTTGCACGGCGTCAGGCAGTAGGTAAATGCCCCACTTGCTGAGTAAGCCAAAGAGAACAGAACTGTTTAGTAAACGACCCTGTTCCAAGCTACTCAGTTGACTGACCTGAGGCAGGGTAATCGACTGGAAATTAAAAACAGAAATGCTGGGAAAACTCAGCAGTTCCTTGACTCGAAACGTGTAGCCTTCTTTCTCACCACAAATGCTGCCAGACCTGCTGAGTTTCTCCAGAATGTTGGAAAACCTCAGCAGCTCTGAAGAAGGGTCGCCGGACTCCAAACGTTCACTCTGCTTTCTCTACACAGATGCCGCGGGACCTGCTGAAGTTTCTCCAGCAGTTTCAGTTTTTGGTTCAGAACCTCAGCATCTGCAGTTCTTTGTTTTGTTTCATTTTATTGATTGGAAGAACTGTACTTGGCCTCAGTATTCCTTGCTACAATAAATCTTAGCACCCCATCCTCTCTTTTGGAGTGTGGTGGTAGCGTCCATATTTCTGAGCCAGGAGATCCAGTTTCAAGTCCCACCTGCCCCAGAGATGTGTCATTAAATATCTGGACACGTTCATTAAAGATATCTGCCCCGCTATCTCTGTATTCATATCCAGCCCCACAACATTCTGCAATCATCTAACCCTGTCCTCTGTATATCCCCAAATATAATCACCCCACCATCTGTGGCCCAGCAATTCTCTTCTTAAACCTCACCACCCCTCTACCTTGCTTTCTGTCTTTGAAGCATTCCTTAGACTGTTTGACCAAGCTTTACCTTCTGCTTGAGTAGCTGGGTGTCATATTCTGTTTTAGAATGACTCTGCTGTGAAGTTTCTTGAATTGCTTTATCACAATGAAGGTGCTATATAAGTGTAACAAAAACAGAAATTGCTGAAAAATTTCAGCAGGTCTAGCAGCATCTGCGCAGAGAAATCAGAGTTAACGTTTCAGGTCCAGTGACTCTTCCTCAGAAGTGGACTCAGAAATTGCTGGTGATTATCTTGAATCCCAAGGAAAGTATGACAAAGTGTCAGTGTAACTGCATTTCAATCCAGGAATGATCGCAGGATTGAGATTTTCAGGTCATTTTGTCGAGAGGCTAATAAAACGTCACCTTTTTATTTGTATCGTAAAAATGAACTTGTAGCCAGTGTTCCAATACCTACAGGTGACACTGCAGCAGTCTCTGAATTAATAGTTCAGTACAAACTTCATAAACTGTCTGATGCACTATTGTTAGCCGATTAATGGTGTCTCATTTTCTTGATGAAATACATTTGGATGGTTGTCAGATGCAGATATAAGGATGCAGATATATAACTGATGATAAAAGTGACATTGCTTTCCCTATCATTTATAATTAGCAATGCAATGCGCAGCCCCACAGCTTAAGATGATGATGATTCAACTTCCTTGAATTACCCGAGACAACAAGGTGCAGGGCTGGATGAACACAGCAGGCCAAGCAGCATCCTTGAATTACCCTATTATCTTTCTGATCTGAGCTGCACAGTGCCACTGCAAGTGGGAAGTGTGGCCAAGTCCCTATTTTGGAGGATGGAGGGGGAAAAAAGATGAGTGAAGGCTTCTTGCCAGTCTCTCTTTGCTACAGTCTCCAGCCATGTAAATGGCTGCTACGTGGCCTGAGAGCAGAAATAGAGGGAACTTGTATTTATATTGTTTTTCTTCATTCATTCATGAGATGTGGGTAGGTCAACATTTATTGCCAATCCCTAGTTGCACTTGACAAGGTGGTGGTGAGCTGCCTCCTTGAACTATTGCAGTCCATTTGGTGTAGGTTGACCCACAATTACTTTATGAAGGGAGTTCCAGGATTTTGACCCAATGACACTGAAGGAACGGCGATATATTTCCAAGGCAGGATGGTGAGTGGTTTGGAGGGGACCTTGCAGGTGGTGGTGTTCCCATGTATGTGCTGCTTTTTCCCTCCTGGATGGTGGTGGTCATGTGTTTGGAAAGTGCTGTCTAAGGAGCCTTAATGGATTTCTGCAGTGCATCTTTTAGATGGTACATAAAACTAGCACTGAGCATCATTGAGGAGGGAGTGGATGCTTGTGCATGTAGTGCCAGTCAAGTGGGCTGCTTTATCCTGGATGGTGTCAAGCTGTGGAAGTGATATTAGAGCTGCAGTTATCCAGGCGAGGGGGGAGTATTCCATCACACTCATGAGTTGTGGTTTGTAGACAGTGGAGTGGCTTTGGGACGTCAAGAGGTGAGTCACTTGCTGCAGTATTCCTAGCCTCTGAACTGCTCTTAAAGCCACTGTATTTATATGTCTAATCCTGTTCAGCTTCAGATCAATGGTAACCCCCAGGATAATGATATTGGGGATTCAGCGATGGTAATGCTATTGAATATCAAGGATGGTTAGGTTCCCTCTTTCTCAGAGATGGTCATTGCCTGGCACTTGTGGCATGAGTGTTCCTTGCCACTTGTTAGCTAAACCTGAATATTTTCCAGGTCTCACTAAATTTGGGCGTGGAACTGCTTCAGTATCTGAGGAGTCGCGAATGGTGCTGAACATTGTGCAGTCATTGGCAAACATTCTCACCTCTGACTATATGATGAAGGAAAGATCATTGATGAAGCAGCTGAAGATGGTTGGGCCTAGGACAGTCCCCTGAGGATCTCCTGCGGAGATATCCCGGACCTATGATGACTGAATGGGCTGAATGGATCACCTGTGTCCACTCTGGACAGTGAATCAGACAGAGATTTTTATAATAGAGAGGGAATCTGAAATACTGTCGCACCCTCGTGGTACATATGGTGCATTGGGGTAAATGCAATGACGTGATTGGTAGTACCCAGCGAATAAGTTTCAGTCAGCGTGACCTGGATTCACTTAAGAAACAGCGGAATGCTGTAATGTGAAAACAGAGAGGGTGATGTTTTGAATGGGTGAGATCAAATGGGCCTCTTTATCTGACTTTACCTTGCGACCCACTGGACATTTTCAACCTTCTAATTTCCTATTTCAAATTAGTTCCTTTAAATAGAATGTTTCGATTTATTGAGACAACCACCACAGTGCGAAAGGTATGTGGCAATAGACCTATGCAATGCTGTGTGTCATTGTGTGATCTATTATTCGGCTGTCACGATTTTAGATCTGGACCTGGATTTTCCAGTAACTGAATTCCCTTCCCAAAACCACACCGATGCCCAGTAAGTCCATGGTGAGGTCTGGGTAGACCCCTACTGCCAAATTCTGGCTCTGCCTGCCCTCACTCAACACAATTACATTGCTCCTGCCTGTAGTTTGAGGCATTTACAGTCATAGAGTCATAGAGCTGTACAGTCCAACTCGGTCCATGCCAGATATCCTAAGTAAATCTTGTCCCATTTGCCAGCATTTGGCCAATATCGCTCTAAACCCTTCCTATTCATGTACCCATCCAGATGCCTTTTAAATGTTGTAATTGTACCAGCCCCCACCACTTCCTTTGGCAGCTCATTCCATACATGCACCACCCTCTGCGTGAAAAAGTTGCCCTTTAGGTCCCTTTTAAATCTTTCCCCTCGCACCTTAAACCGAAGCCCTCTAGTTTTGGACTCCCCCACCCCAGGGAAAAGACCTTGGCTATTCAGCCTATCCATGCTCCTCATACTTTTATAAACCTCTATAAGGTCACCCCTCAGCCTCCAACACTCCAGGGAAAACAGCCCCATTCCCAATAGCTCAAACCCTCCAACCCAAACAACATTATTGTAAAGGCATTTGTGTTTACTACGTTTAATATAGTCATAGGCTAAGTAGAGTGGGTCTCTGGGAGTGACAATTAAGGATCCTATGATTTTTGGAGTTGTACAACATTAGACACCCAGATTGAAGCCACAGCAGTATCTGTTAATTTTTATCTCACTGTGGTGAACCCTACGTTATTCGCATATGTCGAAGCTGTGAACGATTTCATCCTCTTCTGTTGGTTCTCTCATGGATCAAAATTCCAGTTTGGGATTGGCATGAATTGTCCACAGAATTAGCAGTTCATAGTGTCTTAACTCAATAATGCTTGCCAAAATGGCACTTAGCCAAAATACCGTACGATTCAGCCCTGTATATCACCCAGTGTGAAGATGTTTTCAATGGTGCAATAGCCATCTGTTTTTAAGTGCTGGATGAATGTGGAACATTTGCTGAATGTTTAAAGTTGACTGACTTTTCAGCAATTGCACTTTCACACCATCAGATAACTTCTGCAGATTTAAAGAATTGCTACCAGGAAGTGTAACCCCACCCTTGACTTCAAGCTACTCACACCCAAAACATGTTATAGTACCAGTAAATCTATTATTTGACTCTTTTCTTTTTTTTAAAGTAATGTATCAGTGGTTAACTAAGTCAATAATCATTGAATGAGTCAGTGTGAATAGATTGGTTGTTAAATTTCAATCCATTCATTACCTTTCCCTGCATTTGACACATTCATACTCAGTACTATGGTGCCCTGTGATCTCCTCATTCCTTCAATTATTGGCTTCTGTTTCATCAACTTCTTCATCCCATTGTTGTCACCTGTGTTTTATGCTGTCAATGTCCCACATCCTGCAATTCCTTCCTTCCATCTCTCCTGCTTCCATCTGTTTTGTCCTGGGTGGTGTTGCATTTTTGTGAGTCGTTGGAGCTGGACTCATCCTGGAAAATGGGGAATATTTCATCACTCTCCTGACTTGTGGCTTGTAGATGGTGCACAAGCTTTGGGACAGTCAGAATTCCTAATCTCTGGTCTGCTTTTGCAACAGTAACAGTATTCACATGGCTATCCAGTTTCAGGTCAATGATAACTCCTCAGGATTTTGACAAT